TGAACGCCATCACTCTGCCATCACTCTGCTAAACAAATAATTCCCTCAACACTGTCAAACTATTCACTAAGGCTGCATTACTATTACTATTAGTCTTCTCATCGTTCCTATCACCCATCTCCTCCCACTTATGACTGCAGGACTGTAACTTTGTTGCTTGTATGCTTACGATTGATATTGATTATTTCCTGATTGATTATTTGTACCCTATGACTGTCATTAAGTGCGCTACCTTATGATTCTTTACTAATGTATCTTGTCTTTTTATGTACACTGAGAGCATATGTACCAAAGACAAATTCCTTGTGTGTCCAATCACACTTGGCCAATAAAGAATTCTATTCTATTCTATTCTGATCAGCTATAGGCTCCTTTGCATGGCTGAGTGGTTGACCTGGAGTGACCCTGAGGGACAGGGAGGCCTGGAGTGACCCTGAGGAACAAAGAGAGAAGCACTGGGTGCCTTAGGTAGGAGAAATCTTGGAAAGCCCAGGGCAGGCATGCATGGGCCTGTGCTAAGCATCCAAAGACCTCCTCCACTCCTGAGGTACACTGTGCTCCAATTAATGACCTGCACTTTCATTTAATGATTGCATTAGGGAAAGCAGGATCGGGGAGGTTGTTAAGTGACATGGTTCACAATGGCTGTCACAACATGCGGCTATAATGGGCAAACTCCATTGAGGTCATAAGTCAAAGACTACTTGTATATGTATTATAATATGATCATAGAGAACAATTTGGCAAAATAGAAAAAATATTCTTTTCATACTTATTTTTCAAAAAAGTCAATTTAAATTTTTGCATGTCTGCTATTGCTGTATTGAGAAACTTCTGATAATTTTAATACATATATTCATATTAAACTTTTTCTTTATTTGACATGAACAGACTTCGGATTTCTTGATTGTTTTATTTCTAGGCTTATTAGTTATGTTTTAGTATATAAAATATAGTTATTTATTCACAAATATAAAATAAGAACAGTAGTTTAGCTTTCTAAGTAGAAATACAATTTGTTTACAACATGCAAAATATTTTTTCTTCATCTTCTACCCTGCATCATGATTCTTTAAGAAAAACTAATTAGATTTTTTAAAAAAACAATAGAGGTTTTATAAACAAAAAAATAAGAGATGTAACTTATACTTTGATTCTGCAGTAATATTTCTGAAGATCAAGTTCATTTGTGGTGTTATACTTGTAGTAATCAACTGTACTACACCCTGTTTCTTTTTGGATCTATTTCAGAGATCTATTTAAAATGTTTCCTGATTCAGGAACCAAGTAACTGATTTTTTATATGCTATTCAGATCATCATCAGATTAGTTGCCATTGCCATGTGAGGTGAAATGGGTAAACACCTGAGAGATTATCTTGGTGATAGCATCTTTATTCTACAAGACTTTCTGATTCATTGGGTACAAAGCAATTTTTTCCCCAAACTGTTGCTTTTGTTCTTATTTATTTTATTTTATTATAGCTTAGATTTTATTAATGCTTCTTCGATATTGTTTAACTGCACTAATTACATGTTTATTACTTCAATTAGGTCAAGAAAGCTTAAAATTTATTTGAATGTTGCATATGAATTATTGCTGATTCAAAAATGCTATTCTCATTTAAAACATAGATACTGCCTTAAGATTCAGCACAAAATTGCATATTTAACGGTAATGTTTTCTTTCAGCTTTATTACGAACTATTTTGAAGGAAACAAAAATCCCTATTCTTGTAATTATATTCCTGGTTGGACTTATTCTTGGAATATTAGCCCATTTTTCACAAGAGGTACAGTATTAAAACAATAATATATAGAGAACCAGGGAATATATCTTAATACAGTTTATAAATAGACATCATAGATTAATCTATATTAGGCTAGGATGTCAAAAGGATAAAGGAAATTTGGTCTCCTTTTCTAACAAATCCATTGGGTTCCTACTCCCAGAAGATATTGGAAACTTCCTGCGAATCCATTCTAGAACAGTGATGGTTAACCTTTTTGTCATGTGCCTAAGTGCTTTAGTGACTGATAAATAAGGGTATCTCCCCCAACTTAAAGGTCAGTACTGTTGAAACCCTTCCTATTTATCCAGTTTCCTATGTACTAGTTATCAACTCTGAATTAATGTATAATGCAGCTACTTATGTGGTATGATTTGTTGAATAATAGTGAGGTATTATTATTTCTAAATATATGAGTCAGGAAAATAATCAAATATAAATAAGAAATTACTTATATGTAAGATGTATATGTTTTGGCTTTAGCAGTAATAAGGCTTGTTGTATGGTGAACAAAACGGAACAAGGTTTATTAAATCATCTAGACTAGAGGAGTCAATGCAAGCAGACTTTAGCCTTATAACAGTTTCACTTCTCCACTAATGGTCTCTCCCTCCCAGTCCTCCTTTGCAGTCTAAATAGAAATGTCCAGGAATCACCACAGAATAAATTAAAACCTACTCTGGATCTTGTGAGCCCAAAAATTACAGGATGGGCATATCATTTTTAATTTGCCAATTTGAGCAGTGATCAGACATACTAAATTCTTGTTGGGATGGACAAAAGTCAAATGGATGCTGTCCAAGGTACTGTTAAAAGAATGGTTTGCAAGAAAACGATTTCTGTGAGAAAAGAACATACCTATTCAAATGGCATAGTCCCACTCCTGAAGGAGGGAGAGGGAAACCATCTTAAATGGCTTTATTTTTATTTTTTAATGAAATATTATTCTAATAAATATTTCATCTTCTATTTTCTATGCTATTATTTATTGTGAAGATGTAAATTCTATGTCTAACAAGAGTGAAATTTTATTCAGAATATCTGCAGTCTGCTTGGCATATAGGTGACCATCTGAAATACTTTGACCATAATTTGAGTTCTCAACAGTAGTAAAAGTATGTTTCCAAATAGGAAGAATTATTGGGAAGTGCCAGGATCCTATCATGTTGTTGATGACATTAAAAATATGCTATAATTTAGCTTTAGGACTGGGTTTAAAAAATACTTCTTTTTAAAATTGAAAATAGTGTAGTTTCCTGATCCAAGCTCCATACTCAGCCAAGGCACATTTTTCATTATCAAACTTTATCCTGTTATATGTTATAATATTTATAACATAAAGTTACTATTAATGAATTGATATGCAAATTATTCATTCATTCAATATTTGAAGCTAGTATATAAAAGTAATCTTACATTATATAGTATTCTTACAATATCTTTTACTAATTTTTATTATCAGTTGCCTTTTGTGAAAATTGTCGCAAATATAGATCCGATACTTTTTCTTCATTTATTTACACCAATCATAATATTTACAGCTGCATTTGAGATGGATTTATATATATTTCGAAAATCATTTTGGCAGGTAAGTCCAATCTGTTTTTACCTTTTTTCTTTAGAAACATGATAATCAGTGACTCAACCATTTGCTATTTCTTTTCTTCAAATTTCTTCAAATCCTTCCTGGGATGTATATGGTTTTAGTTGTTCTGAGCCTTTTCTTTCTAGTCAGAGTTCATTAAGACAGTTCATTAATGAAGAGCTGCAGATTCTTCACCTCTAATTTGGATGATGGAAACATCTTATTTCAATAGGAGTAACAGATGAGGCCAGAGCTTTTGTGAGGAAAACAGCATTGTTGATTACAAAAAGAGGCAAAATTCAAGGTAGTTATGGCTCCTTCCAGAATTGGGAAAAGATATGGAGAGGAGAAGAGGTTAGATAAGAGTCCAGGGCGATGTCCAATGGTGCTTCATCATTTGTGAGGAAAAAGAATTGAAGTGGAGACTGAAAAGCCAGATACATCAAAAGAGGGGTAAGGTAAGACTCCTCTTTGTTAGGATGAATTCAGCAAGAGATTAGTGCTGTGGCTGCCTAGTCATAAGAATTCTTTGAGTATAAAATCTGAAATGTTTCAACTTTGCTTTTCACTAGATCTTAACTTACATTCTTGCAATTTTCATTGCAGTTTTCATTGCAGTTCTAAGAACAAGTTACAATTGTATTGGTATGAGTGCACAAAAGCATTGTAAAATACTTATTTTTTTGCACTGTCAGTGCTGGTGCTATTATCTCAACAAATAGTTAACCATAGTTTCAATTGGGGAAATGTGATAATCCTGGACCAGACTCAGTCCAGAGAATTTCTAGAAGCTGGGCACTTTTGACTAATCAGCCATTAATAGACACATAGACATTAACAACATTTATAGATGATGCAAAAGAAACAATTAACCAGCCCAAAAGAGAAAGAGTCCAAAACCTCTCCACCAGTAATCAGCATTCAGATCAGCATAGGTCAACTTCAGACCAGCAATCAAGTAAACAATACCCCAATCAAGAAACTGTCAGAGCCATCAGGAAACAGCCCAACCAAAGAATCTCCACGCACACAGGCAGACAAGTCACAAGAATATAAACTAACAGCAAACATTGATGATGTTTCCTAGTTAAGGGTAATGAAACATCTGCAAGAAAACAAGCTCAGAGAGCACCAAGGACCTCTCAACCATTAGTTACCCACTTGCTGGTTTAAAGTTATAAATAGGCCTGAAGTTTTTTTTTTTAAAGGGGCCTGTGATTCTGTGAGCAGGCAATGTTGGCTGAATATTGTAAACTGTTAAACTAATTATTATCACTTTATTATGCATTATTCTGTTAATTTATTTATTCATAGTTTGGAAAATTAATTTTTAATAAAATTTTAAATCATTTTTAAAAATTTCAGTTTATTATCAGTTCTCTAGACTAGCTGAAATCAAGTTATTTCGTATCATTTTGTTACTCACATGCAGACACAGAGTGGAAATCTCTGTACAGTATGTTCCTTTGGGTTAGCTTCTTGAATTTATTTCATTTCTATCAGTATAAATGATATTGGAGTGAGCTGAATTCAAGAGCTATTGACTGAAGATATAAAGTCTCCTGACAGAATCATTGAATGAGGAAATGTAGATACTGGCATCCAAATCTCTGGAGATGCAAAAATGAACAACTCCAGCAAACTATATTCCATTGAGATTGAAATACAAAATTTCAAAAATGACATTCAGCTCAAACACTAGGAGCTCTCTCCCATACCTCATAAATATCTGCTTTCTCAACCCTATGGATCAGATTTTGAAATGTACTGTATTTTTCGGAGTATAAGACACACCTTTTTTCCTCAAAAAAAAGAGGCTGAAAATCTGGGTGCGTCTTATACACTGAATACAGCATTTTTTGCCTCCTGAAGCCCCACCCCTTCATCAAAATGGCCGTGCATACCCTTATGGAGGCTTTCAGGAAGCTGGGGACTGGAGAGGGCAGAAATGAGCAAAAAATGGCCCGTTTTTGCCCCCCCCCCNTGAATTGTGAGCCGCCCTGAGTCCCCTCAGGGAAAAGGGCGGCATACAAATAAAGTAATCAATCAATCCATCTCCTTTAGAGCTCTTGCTTCCAACATAACTTCACGCCACCTGCTATGGCTTCGCCACTGGCAGGCGGACGTGAAAGCCAAGTGGAAGCTAGCTTCCGCTCCATTTAAAGGGGGAAAATTGTTTGGGGAGGCCTTGGATCCCTTTCTAACAGTCCAAGGACAAGCGCAAGAGTCTGCCCCTAGTCACCAAGAAGCCAGACCGTAAGGGGCAGCCCTTTTGCCGTAATTCCTTTCAGAGCCCTGAGCCTTCCACCTCCTCAGGGGGGGGGGGAACAATCGGTCCTACCCTCAGTCCCAGGACCATTCCCAGGACAAATCTTCCTACAGGGATAGGAACAGACAGCAGGGCTTCCGCAAACCATTCTGTGGGGGGTATTCCAACCGTCACTTCCAGAAGTCAAAGTGACCGTCACCAAGACCCTCCCATTGGCGGTTGTCTCCAGCTTTACGCCAACCAGTGGGAGGGACCACGATGGACACCTGGATTCTGAACACAGTCTGTCACGGATTGACCCTGGAATTCCTTTCCTTCCCTCCAAGGACCTTTGACCGTTGCCCCACCCCCAGGTCGGCCCACAAGTCGGCCCACAAGTTCCAGCTCATGAGGAAAGAGATAGCGGCTATAGAGAAGATTCCCGAGGGCCAGGAGGGCAGGGGTTTCTACTCCATACCGTTTCTGGTCCCCAAATCTTCCGGGGGGGGGTAAGGGCAATACCGGACCTCAAGAAACTCAACAAACATCTGGCATACAAACTCTTCAAGATGCAGTCCCTTCAGACCATCCTGGGCTGCGTCAGACAGGACGACCTCTTGACCTCAATAGATCTGAAGGAAGCATACTGTATGTTCCGATCCACCCAGCGCATAGCAAGTTCCTGAGATTCCAGTTTGCCAACCAGCACTTCCAGTACAGGGCCCTCCCCTTCGGGCTCTCATCGGCACCTCGGACCTTCACCAAGCTGCTAGCCGCCATCGCTGCGCATCTGCAATCCATCCCGGTAAGACTGGAATGCTACCTGGACGACATCCTAATACACTCATCATCCAGGGGGCAGGCCCAGAGAGACCTGGACACCACCATCCGAGTCCTCCAACTACACTGGTTCTCGGTCAACCTCGCCAAGAGCCATCTGACCCCGACCTGTAGAATTCAACACCTCGGCACGGTGATCGATTCCAGGGACTGCAAAGTCTTCCTCAAGCAGGAGAGAATAGACAGCATCAGATCCCTGGTGAGGTCCATCCGATCGGCGGGGTCAGCGTCGTTAGTTTCCCCCTCTCAGTTGTTGGGGAAACTCGTGTTGTGCATTTCAGTGATTCCGTGGGCACGACTGCATACGCAAGAGCTCCAATGGTTTCTGCTGCCGCTCCAGAGGCGCAAAGCCAGCAACTCCAGGAGGAGGGTGCATCTACCTCCAAAGGTCCTACGATCCCTCAGGTGGTGGCAGACGGACACACTTCTGAAGGGCTGCTGCTTCAAGGAGCCGGAGCGCCTGGTCATAATGACAGACGCCAGCCTCTTCGGCTGGAGCACTCACCTCCTGACTCAGGTGGTCCAGGGCCGGTGGTCACAGACGGAGCTTGCTCACAACATCAATTGGCTGGAGCTCCAGGCCACCAGACTAGCCATGTGCCATTTCCGCAGTTGGATTGAGGGCCATGACGTGCTGATCCTAACAGACCACATCGCCACAAAGGCGCACATCAACCATCAGGGCGGCAAGAGCGAAAAAATTTCTAAGGCAGTCCAATAGGGATTAAATTTGCCACTTTGTTCTTAGTTAAGGGACTAATTTAGCTTAAGAAAACAGTTTCTTAGGGCAATCTTCTAAAAAAAAGAGAAAAACTCACCAGATGGAACACTTTCACTCCTCTTTCTTTCTGGAGCCATCTCCAACTATGTCAGCCTGGGGGCTGCCTGTTTGCTGCC